GTGCTGCCTGAGGGAAAGAAAGCGGTACAATGCAAGTGGGTGCTAAGGATCAAGACTGACGACAAGGGGCAGGTCACCATCTACAAGAGTAGGTTGGTGGCTAAGGGGTTTATGCAGAAGGAGAAGCGGGACTTCAATGAGATCTTTGCTCCCACTGCCAAACCCCCTACCCTTCGTGTCTTGTTGGCAGATGCAGCCGTTAGTGGGAAGTTCATTATCCAGATGGACATATCAACGGCATTTCTCAACGGGATTTTAGAGGAGGAGGTGTTCATGACGCAGCCACCTGGGTATGAGGATGGTACGGGCAGGGTGTGCAAGCTGAAAAAGTCCATCTATGGCTTGAAGCAGGCGCCACGCTGCTGGTACCAGAAGTTGGCAGCTGTTTTAGAGGAGTTGGGATTCAGGACCAGCAGCTGTGATGAGAGCCTCTTTCTCAAGGGGGAGGGGGAGAAGCTGGTGCTGTTTCTGGTCTATGTGGACGACATTCTTCTCTTTAGCAGCAGCATGAAGGAGATCCAGAAGGTGCAGCAGCAGCTGATGGAGAACTTCAAGTGCAAGAACCTTGGGGAGGTAAAGTACTACCTCGGGATGCACGTGGAGAGGGATCTGGATCACAGGTGGTTGAAGCTGCACCAGGAGAAGTTCATCAAGGAGCTTGGGGAGAAGTACGGAATTGAGAATGAGCGCAAGGTTGCAACTCCCCTGCCAGCAGAATTCAAGCTTGTGAAAGCTGCAGAGGATGAAGGGGTTGAAGCCGAGGAGCAGCAGCAATTTCAGTCCTTGGTGGGCAGCCTCTTGTATGCAGCAGTTCACACGAGACCCGACATCTCTTTCTCGGTTGGGCAGCTGGCTAGGGTAGTGCAGAATCCATCAGAGGAGCAGGTGGATGCAGCTGAGCGTGTGGTGAAGTATCTGAACTCTCACCCAAGCATTGGAGTTCAATACTCCGCATCTGCACAGGTGAAGCAGAAAGGGGTTGAGGTGCTGAAAGAGAAGGGGGAGAGGCTTGGAGAAGGCAAGCTTTTTCTCACTTGCTTTACTGATGCTACGTGGGCCTCTGAGAAGGAGGATTCCTCATCTGTGGGAGGATACATCTGCGTAGTTGGGGGAGGACCGGTTAGTTGGAGGTCAAAGAAGCAGACGGAGACAGCACTCTCTTCCGTGGAATCAGAGTACATGGCGATGTTCCATGGGGTGAAGGAGGTGATTTGGCTGAGGAGGCTGTTGGAGGAGATTGGCCAGGAGCAAAAGGTTGCTACGCCGCTGTTTTGTGATAGCAAGGGAGCTCTTGGGATGGCCAGGAACGCTGTGCTTCATGGGCTGAACAAGCACATGCGTATCAAGTGGCACTGGCTGCGTAAGGAGGTGAAGAGGGGGACGGTGAATCCGATCTACATCAAGACTCACCAGCAGCCAGCAGACTTCCTCACCAAGAGGCTTGCGGATGAGTCTCATTGGCGTTGTGTGCGCATGAGTGGAATGAGCATGAACTAGTATGGAATGATGGGGATGCAGCCGGCAGGCTGAGGGGGAGTGTGTTGGGTGCAAATTCACATTGCACGACATCCTGCCGCTCTTTCTCGGTTGGGCAGCTGGCTAGGGTGGTGCAGAATCCATCAGAGGAGCAGGTAGATGCAGCTGAGCGTGTGGTGAAGTATCTGAACTCCCACCAAAGCATTGGAGTTCAATACTCCGCATCTGCACAGGTGAAGCAGAAAGGGGTTGAGGTGCTGAAAGAGAAGGGGGAGAGGCTTGGAGAAGGCAAGCTCTTTCTCACTTGCTTTACCGATGCGACTTGGGCTTGTGAGAAGGAAGATTCTTCATCTGTGGGAGGATACATCTGCGTAGTAGGGGGAGGACCTGTTAGTTGGAGGTCCAAGAAGTAGACGGAGACAACACTCTCTTCCGTGGAATCAGAGTACATGGCAATGTTCCACGGGGTGAAGGATGTTGGTGTAAGGGCCTAATAAACTCAAGCTACTAAGACTTTATCAAACTTAAAACCTCTCCTCGGGGTCACCTCCAAGGGTCCTTGGGTGCGTGGTACAAGACCAGCCCCTATCCTCGGGTCCGAGTTTGTAGAGAGAGGGATCAAGAGGAACTTAGTCAAAACAGCAAGAGTACCTTGAACGTCGCGCAGCGTATCGTGCAAACCGTCGATCGGATTAAGCTGAGAATTTCCTATATCGAAGCTCACTCTAAGAGCTTTAAAATAAGCCAAGTTGCCTCGCGAAAAAGTCTGCCATTACGAAGTTATGGCTCGGACAGCGTTTGCCTAGCATTGGAGTGCTAGCGTACTAGCGTTGACTCGGGTAGCATTCCGCCGTCGCACCGCGTAAAAACGAAATTCCAGGAAGGGAGGAATTTGCTTGAATCAAATTGACTATATCCAGGTACAAACAGAGAAAGAATATATAGTTCTAGCTAGCAAGGACCTTGGGAATAAACCTGGGAACAACCAAGGATGATCCCAAATAATTCCAAGCAACAGAACCAACCTGGCTGGACAAAACAGCAGGTGGTAGGTTGGTAAACAACCTCTGGTTCTGTTTTTCCAACCTGGGAAAACAACAACCAGGTTCAGGTCCTAAAAACAGAACCTGTTTTGTCTTTGCCCAACCAGCCAAATGCTGGTTCCGCTGGTTTCCCCTGGCCCTGTAGCATGCAGATACAGACAAACAATATCCAACCTTCACCTAAATTGTACCCCTATAGTGCCTGCCCTGCTACACTATAGTCAACCAAACAAAACAGTACAATTTCGAGTTGGATAGAACTGAATCTGCGCAATCAAGTCGAACCGCAAAGCTTCCATCTTGGGTTCCTTTGCGAGCTCGTCCTTTCTGCTTGTACTGTTAATGGCGCGTACAATGTTATGCCCAAGCGCACAATGCGCGAGTACCTGCAAATGCTTCAAGCGAAAATTGCGAAAGCAAACAAACACACGAACATTCCATTCATACCCAAATGCATTCGCACATGCATAATCGTACAAACAGACGGTAGGATGTCGTGCAATGTGAATTTGCACCCAACAAAGGAGGTGATTTGGGTGAGGAGGTTGTTAGAGGAGATTGGTCAAGAGCAGAAGGTTGCTACGCCGCTGTTTTGTAATAGCAAGGGGGCTCTTGGGATGGCCAGGAACGCTGTGCTTCATGGGCTGAACAAGCACATGCGTATCAAGTGGCACTGGCTGCGTAAGGAAGTAAAAAGGGGGACGGTGAATCCGATCTACATCAAGACTCACCACCAGCCAGCAGACTTTCTCACCAAGAGGCTTGCGGATGAGCCTCATTGGCGTTGTGTGCGCATGAGTGGAATGAGCATGAACTAGCATGGAATGATGGAAATGCAGCCGGCAGGCTGAGGGGGAGTGTGTTGGGTGCAAATCACATTGCACGACATCCTGCCGTTTGTTTGTACGAGTATGCGTGTGCGAATGCATTTTGGGTGTGAATGGAATGTTCGTGTGTTTGTTTGCTTTCGCAATTTTCGCTTGGAGCGTTTGCAGGAACTTACGCATTATGCGCTTCGGCATAACATTGTACGAGCTATGAACAGTACAAGCAGGAAGGACGAGCTCGCAAAGGAACCCAAGATGGAAGCTTTGCGGTTCGGCTTACTTGATTGCGCAGATATAGTTCTATCCAACTCGAAATTGTACTGTTTTGTTTGGTTGACTATAGTGTAGCAGGGCAGGCACTATAGGGGTACAATTTAGGTGAAGGCTGGATGTTGTTTGTCTGTATCTGCATGCTACAGGGCCAGGGGAAACCAGCGGAACCAGCATTTGGCTGGTTGGGCAAAGACAAAACAGGTTCTGTTTTCAGGACCTGAACCTGGTTGTTGTTTTCCCAGGTTGGAAAAACACAACCAGAGGTTGTTTACCAACCTACCACCTGCTGTTTTGTCCAGCCAGGTTGGTTCTGTTGCTTGGAATTATTTGGGATCATCCTTCGTTGTTCCCAGGTTTATTCCCAAGGTCTTTGCTAGGTAGAACTATTTATTCTTTCTCTGTTTGTACCTGGATATAGTCAATTTGATTCAAGCAAATTCCTCCCTTCCTGGAATTTCGTTTTTACGCGGTGCGACGGCGGAATGCTACCCGAGTCAACGCTAGTACGCTAGCACTCCAATGCTAGGCAAACGCTGTCCGAGCCATAACTTCGTAATGGCAGAACTTTTCGTGAGGCAACTTGGTTCATTTTAAAGCTCTTGGACCGAGCTTCGATATAGGAAATTCTCAGCTTAATCCGATCGACGGTCTCCACGATACGCTGCGTGACGTTCAAGGTACTCTTGCTGTTTTGACTAAGTCCCTCTTGATCCCTCTCTCTACAAACTCGGACCCGAGGATAGGGGCTGGTCTTGTACCAGGCACCCAAGGACCCTTGGAGGTGACCCCAAGGAGAGGTTTTAAGTTTGATAAATTCTTAATAGCTTGAGTTTATTAGGCCCTTACACTAACGAAAAGCGCCAAATTGAGGAGCTTAAGGATAGATGCAACAATATGCAAGCATCTTTCAGCAAGCTCCTTGAGCAGTTCAGGGAGCTTAGGAGGGAGGGCATTTACCAGCCTCCTCCTGGGCGTAGGCCCACTTCTGCTGCTTAGCCGGCACCCGCTTTGCCTGCACCTCCGCCGGTAGGCGCTGCAACCGCTATGCACCAGCCACCTCCAACCGAGACCGCACCCTTTGGGTCTCTCTCGGCGCCCCTGCGTGGGTTTTATCTATGGCAAGACAAAAGTGGAGCCTTGGCTTGACCTGGTGGATACCACCATGACCCTTGCGAATGTGCGTCCCGAGGCTCGCGTCACCGCAGCTACTCGTGCATTGGATGAAGTGGCCCGCAGGGCAGTGTATGGCGCTAAGAAGTAGGTGCAGGGACCATTTGAATGGCCGGAATTCTGCACCGCGCTGAAAGAGGCATTCATGGTCAAGAAGTCCGACCTGGAACTGCGTGGACGCCTTGAGAGTATCAAGTGTCGTGATCGTTCGATGCAGGACTATGCGGTCGAGTTCGAAGGCGCAGCACGCATGCTCGAGAAGCCCTTGTCCGATGAGGAGATGATGCACACCTTCATGAAAGACCTTCCTGTCAAGCTGCAGCAGGCACACATGATTGGTGGCATGACCAATGGGATGACTTACAAGGAGACGAAGGAGCAGGTGATCAAAACGGACAACATCATTTGCACGTACATGTTTGGTCCCGAAAAGTCAGGCCAGCAACCCCGTGCCGAAGGCTCTGGTGGTCATGGGAACCAACCACAGAATGCTACGGGTGGAGGCGGTTGGAACAAGCGGCCTTCCCAGCAGCGTGATCACCAGCCTGGACCGCAGGCCAAGAGTGCTAACGACTGGGAAGGGTATGGCCCCTTTTCATCAGCTTTTAACGTCAGGGACCTGGGCATGCCGCGAGGACGTCAGAGATGCCGCCCGAGACCAAATCTTCCTCCCCATCCGCCTTGGGGGTTTCGGCATTCATCGCATGGAGCGCATTCCCCCGGTGAGTTTCGTGTGCTCTTGGGTGCAGTATCCACCCATCCTCTGTTCTCTTCCTGTATACGGTGAGGTTTTTCGACGGAGCTTTGCTTCCGGTGAGACGGAACAAATCGACCCATCATTGCGGACGACGCTGGAGGGCCTCCCGTCTGACATCCTCTCTCTCCTTCTACCCTGGCCCTCTTGTGTCTCTGCCTCCTCCGATTCCCTTTCTGCAGGAGCGAGCCGCCTTTTTTAGGCGCATGCCTTGGAGGTAGTGCGTGCCCGTCACACATCTCCCTAGCACCTTGCCCGTTTGACTTCCCTTCAGGGCGTAGGTGCAGGAGCGTGGCTGTTGGCGGTGCCATACGCAGTCTCCCTGCGTAGTGGCAGGTGGCTTAATCATGTCCTCTTGGTCTCTCTGTCCCCCACTTAGCCCTCGCGCATCCCAAACCTCATCTGCCGCGATGTTGGGCAGACTATGATGATGGCTCTTGTGGATGTCTCTATAGTGGATCCACAGCCGGAGGGGAACGTGCAACTGAGCAGTCGACCCCCACACAGATTGGAGTGGCAGCAGCTAGGGTGGTGCAGGATAAGCTGCTCACTAAGGGCCGCACTTAGAGGGGTTGCTGCTGGCACCACAGTTTTACGCGTGCGTGACTGAGACCTTTGACCTACCGAGCGAGCCGTTGCATCAGTTCCTGGGGCTCTGCACGAAGTGGATAGTATAGCAGAGGAGGGATTGGGAAGTGGGGGATGACGGATCGGCATGAATATTTGAGGCAGGACTCGCTACATGTCTCTCTGTGGCAGTGCAACGTGCGCATGCTCAATGCATCTTACGACATGCGGTGCGGAAGTTGGGGGAATCTGACGACGGGTGGATGCCCGGACCCGTCCCACTAGGTGCAGGGCAGGGTACCTGGAACCACATCACATGGTGCTTCGAGAGTGTTGCCGATATACAATATATGTATGACGCATATGTGTAGAGAGTTTAGTCGCTGTGCTTGAAACGTTGTGCCCGCGTCATTGTCAGGGTTGCTATCCAGTTTTGTCTCTTGATACTTCCTTCTCCTTAGTCTCTTTCCCTCTCGCTTCTCCTCTTCCCACATCCCTTTTGCTGCCTTCCTCTATCTATTCACTTCTCTTACTACCACTCTCTTCTTTTCCCTATTACCTCTTCACTCCCTGATATTTACTTCTTCTTTCTTACTTATCTTCCCTACAAACTTTATATATCGTCCTCATAGAGCAATGATCATGCCAAAATTAAATCCTTTTGGAAAAACCATTCTATTCGGCTTGTATTTGTATTGCCCTGATCAATGAATAGCTGCATGAGCGGGCACGGGTGGCCCGGCCCCCCGAAGGCAGCGGGCGCGGGCGCGGGCCGGGGGCGGGCGGCCGGGCCCCCCGGTGGCGGCGGGCGCGGGGGCGAGTCGGGGGCGGTGGCCGGGCCCCCTGGGGGCGGCGAGCAGTGGGCACGGGCGTGGGCCGGGGCGGGCGACCGGGCCCCCGGGGGGCGGCTGGTGCAGGCGCGAGCCGGGTACGGGCGGCCGGGCCCCCCAGGGGCGGCGGGCGCGGGCGCGAGCTGGGGGCGGGCGGTCGGGCCCCCTAGGGGCGGCGAGCAGTCGGCGCGGGCGTGGGCCGGGGCCGGGCGGCCGGGCGGCCGGGCCCCCCGGGGGTGGCGGGCGTGGGCGCGGGCCGGGGGCGGCGGGCCGGGCACGGTCCAGGGGCGGGCGACCGGGCCCCTCAGGAGCCGCGGGCGCGGGCGCGGGCCGGAGGCGGGCGGCCGGGCCCCTCAGGGGCGGCGTCCGCGGGCGCGGGCCGGAAGCGGGCGGCCAGGCCCCCCGAGGGCGGTGTCCGTGGGCGCGGGCGCGGCCCGGAGGCGGGCGACCGGGCCCTACGGGGGCAGCAGCCGCGGGCGCGGGCGCGGGCCGGGGGCGGGAGGCCACGGGGGCGGTTGTCCTATACATTAGAGGTTACGTACATGCTCACGAGTGCATTAAAGCTCTTTCTTGTCTTATTTTTACCGATTGCGTGCACCATTTCGCTGTCTTCCAGGGTGTAGTGATGGAGGTACTAGATGCTCTTGCAAAACTATCACAAGATAAGTTGTCACTGCGCTCCCGGCTGCTGGTGAGTTGGTTTGTGCCGATCCCTCGCTCCGCTCTGCTCTCTTGGAGCTCGTGCAACACAACATCGCTCAGGCCTTGCGACCGCAGACTGAAGCTGGGTTAAGGGTGTTTGCGCCCTATCCTTCCGACCTCGCTCGCTCCACCCTGCTCTCGTGGTGCTTATGCGACACAAATTCGCGCAGGCCTTGCAACCACAGACTCAAGGTGGCTTTAGGCTGTTGAGCTTTCGCCCTTCTTTTCCTAGCAATCTCGCTACGCCCCTCGCTCCGCTCTGCTCTCCTGGTGCTCGTGCAACCCAACTTCGCGTTGGCCTTGCGACCGCAGGATAAAGCTTGGTCAAGGGTATTGAGTTTCCACCTCACCCTTCCCACCCCGCTCGCTCCACCCTGCTCTCCTGGTGCTTATGCGACACAACTTCGCGCAGGCCTTGCAAACACAGACTCAAGGTGGGTTAAGGATGTTGAACTTTTGCCTTTCCCTTCCTACCCATCTCGCTCCGCTCCGCTCTCTTGGTGCTCGTGGAACACAACTGCGCGCAGGCCTTGCAACTGCAGACTGAAGACGGACTCAAGGTGTTGAGTTCTCGTTGTTCCCCTCCCAACCTCATCACTCGGCTCTGCCCTCTTGGTGTTCACTCCTTCCCACGCATCGATTTTTTCCTATCTCCTTCGTACTCTCTAGCTCGTTAATTATTTCTCTTGATTCCCTTTATTGAGAAAGCTTGCCTTCTTATTCCTATCAGTTGACATCGTTCTCATTACAACTGTCTGCAGTTGTCTTTTTGCTCGACCACGTTGAGTGGGCTTATGCGCTTAAGTTCTGTTGCGGGCATCGGGATTGCTGCTCCAGTCTCTATGAGTTCTTGGATGGCGGTACGTGTGAACGTGGCGTGCGTGTTCGCCCCTACATGGTTGCGATCGTGGAAGGGCTGTGGTGGGCCGTGGCTCCATGGCAGCCAGTAGCCCTTGGCGATGACGGAGAGGACAAGGCTGCAGGGGCACTAGGAACCCCACTACGCAAAGGTCGCATGAAGCCGACCTCGCATCTGTATAATAGTTTTGTCCGTAACGGCGAATTCATATGGATCGTCGTAGCATATCACCTTGCACCGTCGTGCTCCTGTATAGTGGGGGCAAAATGGGGTGATCGTTGGGTGTTTCATTTCAAAGCATCCGTATGCATGTACGAGCAACCATATATCAAGATGTGAACAACATTGACAATCTATCAAAATGTCAACAAATATGTCGGGTACTCGCCGGCGCTTCTTGTTTCTCTTCCTTGCAAACCCCCCCCCCCCCCCCTTTTTTTTATAACGCATTGTGGGTTGCCTGCTCATGGCCGCCATGCCCGTTCCTAAAGCAGGCACTTGCCACATGGCCCGGCTGGCCGCAGCGGAAGCATGAGCCCCGAAATCCACGGCAATTGGCCGTGGGCGGAGGGCCCGCTTGGGTAAGAACGGCATCGGCGCCTTGTTTCCGCCGCGGTTGACACGAGCGTATCCGCTTGCCGCCCGGTCTATCGTCGCCATGTCCCCCACCGCCTGCTTGAAGGGTCAGGATTCAGCAGGCTCTTCTGCTGGTACAACTTGAAGCGCTTCACCGTGCGGAAGTCGGAGGCGTCCTCCACTTGAAGCACCTCGAAACAACCCGAGATGAGGCTGAGAGCGTACGAGATGAGTTCGAGTCCGGCCCCCGGGTCCCCGCGCTGCGCCTTGTATTCCGTGTGCAGCAGGTACGCGCACAAGTCCTCCAGCAGCTCCGCTTGCTCTCGCACGGAGTCGTTGACGAATGTCGCCGTCGAAAAAGTGAGGTTAGAAGAAGGGAGCGGGGGAAGGGGTTCGCTGCCATTAAAATTAACATTGTTGACTGGAGCCTCACCGGCTTTATCTTCAAAGTCGTCGGTGTCGTTGTCGACCGCTTTGCAAGCGGTGCGGCTGTCGCTGCGTCGTCGTCGTACCGATTAGTCCTTGCTCCTCACGTTCATTTTTCCTTTTTTCGCATTTTCTTTTTTAGCCGACGCAGATGCAGCGGGTAGTGCAGTTTCCGCGGCTATAATGCTGATGGGTTGTTGTTGTTGTAACGCACGGGCGGTCCTTGCGTCAGTCAAGGAGACCGCCGTCCACCTCCTCTGGCGATGATGCGACGGTCCAGCTGCGGGTCCTGGCGTGTGTTCCGCGCCAGTGGCGTGTGCTGCGCCAGCAGCCGTTGCCATTTGCACCGTAGGTGCCACTGGCGCCACAGGCGCTGAAGGGTGCTGCTGGGCGTCGGGCGCTTTGTTGACCTCGAGCCCGCCCAGCAGCACGTCCACTACAGTCGGGGACGGCGGTCCATCTTCTGCACGTCGCTTGTTACGGCGTTCGCCCGCCAAATCGCGGGTGTTACGGTCGGAGTCGGACGCGGGGTTGGATGAGTTCCCGTTGTTAAAAGTCGGCGTCGGTGCCATCGTTGAGCGATTAAAGTTAAAAATGTCGCTGAGTAAAGTCGATGTTGACTCGCCTCTAGGAAGCGATTTTGTTTTAGCCAGCTTGGACAGAGGGATAAACTACGTGAGCGGAAATGTTGAGTGAGCCGTTTGAAATAGAGATACGTGGGTGGAGGGAAATGAACTCCAACCCACGTTTTTTGTACTTGGAGAAGGGCGTTTAGCGCGCTTCGACGATGCCAATTGTGCAATACAAGCAGCTTCGCTTTCACAATACACAATTTAAAAAAACACTATGTGTGTTTAAAAAATATAATGTTACTGCTTCCTGGACAAGAAATGCCCATTTCCATTCACTTTTGCAATTTTTGTCAGGTAGTCCTTGGTGACGTGGCACCTGCGCACTGGGCACTGTTGCTGGCTTTCAACGTTGGCTTGGCAAATGATATTTAGATACAAGCGGAGGTGAAAGGGGTGGAAATTTTTCGACTTGGTTCATGATACTCCTCGCAACGAAATGGAAGGACAACTTGAGGTACGCATGGTCATATGCTTACATCGGGGGTGCAGCAATAGGAGTGAAATTTATTCATGTTTTTGTGTGCCTAGTGCAAAGTTTACGTTAACTTGTATCAAGGCGTGTTTTACTCCATTCGTTTTCTCTGGAGCCATGATACGATGTCTCTGCAGCAACAGAATGCACAGTATGCTAGTCATCAGCAGCATAGTTATCGGGTGGATATAGCTGGGTGCTCAAGAAGCTTAGTGTTGAAGAGGATACCCGTAGACTAGATCGTGCCACATAAAGAGCAAGATCCGTTGGTGATAGGCAAAAGGGGAGGGGAGGGGGGAGGAGGGTGGGGGTGGGAGCGGGCGTTGCGTTGCTTGTACGGTAATAAGCACTAGGAAATTGAGGTCAAGCACTTGACCTTTCCCAATCTCAGGGTTTCCATGTCGAAGGTCCACGCAAAGTAAGTGTAGTGCAAATTGGGCGATCTGGCTAATATCAAACAAGCACGAATCCAACATAAAAGTAGATCTTTCTTGTGCTTATGCCTAGTTGAGTCAAGTGTTTATGGTAGTTATAGGGTTCACTCTCAAACTATATCTTATCGTTATACGCTGTTGTGAGAGTACGACGGCTTATGCTGGCTTTGCTAGCTTGCCTGGACTTTATTATGCTATATCTAGTTTGGGTTTATTTTATCATGCATATATATGCTTGATTTCATAGGTAAGGTGCATTCCTATCATTTATTATAGTTATAGCACCGAACCAAGTTACGTGTACCGAACTCAAGTCTATTCGGTTTCCACCGAATTGCTTTCTACTGAGTTTGGGAAGGTTCTGTTCGGGACGCTTTGCAACCCTCAGAACATTTGCGTAACACCTGGGTAACTGGCCTTGTGTCAAGACTATATATAGCCTCGTGTTGTACCCAGGTGGATCAATGAATTACAACTCACTTTTCTGAGCTCGATCCTAGATCCTCACACTTGGTAGTCATAGCCTGTTTACACGCGAAAGTTTTTCGATCGCTAAAACCGAGTCTTCAAAAACCGCGGGGGCGACACAGTTAAACATCGATTTCCGGTACGTAAAACCGGTCCCGTTTTTTTTGCTCCCCCTCGTTTTGGTTTTACGGACGCGCAATGTCAGGCATGGAGGGCCAAGGCGACAACTATGCGAAAATGAGTGACATCACGAGCCTCCGCACCGACATGGAGCAGACGCAGGCGGCGCTACGACGACTCGAGGCCCTTCTGACACACCAACCAGGAATTGCCACCACAGCAGCAGCGAATGCAGCAGTGAACGTAGCAGCGACAACACCCGCAACAGTGGCGACACCGACATTTCATGGACCGATGGCGCCACTGTCGCCGAACCTCGAAGCAGCACGGCCGAGGCTCCCTGAAGCGTTCGATCCCAGCGCGAAGGGATCCGACGTCCGGCGATTCGTGGCAACCCTCGAAATTTACTTCGAGGCCATTGGCTGTTCGACCCCGCAACACGACGCAGCAAGAATTCGGCTCGCAGCGACACTGTTACGTGGACCGGCACTCGAAAGGATTTATTACACCGACGTGGCCCGCGGGAAGAAAACGTGGCAGCCGTTTCGGGCAGACTTAATCGAGCGTTTCGAACCCATTAATACGACCTACATGGCGCGGCAGCAAAATCATCGGCATAAGCAATACAGTAGTGAAGCATAGTACACGCAGCAGATGGAGCTCCTGTTCAACCGCATCACCGAACTGACCGAAGGCGAAAAAATCCAGGCGTACACAGCAGGGTTAAAATTGGAGATTTGCCGACAGGTCATCGCAGCGAATTACAACAGTTACCGCGACATCGTGCCTGCTGACGACCGATACGTCGCATTGACTCGAGGTCAACCCGAAACACGACGCTTCACGCCGAACCGTACATTCGGCACAGAGCGATCGGCACCCCCCACGTTCGCTGAACCGATGGATATCGACAAATACGACGCGAAGCAGCAGCCGACAAATTGCGAGTTTTGCGGCGCAGCAGGGCATCAGTTTTTGTCGTGCTACAAAATGAAGAAGGCACGTGCGGCACTCCGGGACGGTAGCAGTGGAGCACCCCCGAAGTAAAAAAATGGGAATCACCAGTAGCTACGGATCGACCTGGCGATCTTGTAAAGATCTGAAAAGCACGAAAAGGCGACGACGTGGCGACTTCGGAGCGGGTGAAAAAAGGAGAAAATGATGGCTCGAATCTAAAACGTCACGACCAGCCGGCATCAGGGGAAATCGCCGAGGCGAATGGAGGCTCCGCGAAAAAAGACTCTGCACCGACCGGGAAACTCCAGCCGAACACCCACAAAAGTAAGAATTCGTTAAAAGTATCCTATAAAAATACTCTAACGAAGAATATTGCTTCTCGTGGTTTTCAAGCCTTTGAAATATTCAGGGGAGATTTAGAGGCCAAGAAAAAGTCTTTAGAAATTATTCAGGTACCTGAGAAGTTGGGCAAAGTACTACGGAGCGTAGACAAGGTCGTGCGTTCCGTGGAGTTAATATTCTCTCCCCGCAGCCTAGTGTTAAGGCTCCCCGTTGCCCACAGGTGAAGCCTACACAGCTGCAAAGGCTTAGAGGAAAATTCCAGGCTCATTGGAAGTTGTACAAGCCTCAGAAAAATCCTCATACCCCCCAGGTGAAGTTGGAAGAGAAAAGTGCTGAGTCAGGTATAGGAAATAGGGATGGTATTCACTTTGATGTACCCTATGATCCTATTGATGAGACCCTCTTCGGCTACTCAGCGCAGCAGGCACCACTACTCATCGAGGTGTTATGCAAAGGACGACGCCTCCAGGCACTGGTGGACAGCGGTGCATCTCACTCGGTGTGTGACCGCGGGGATTGGAGAAAACTAGGGAACCTTCCGAGGAGACCAAGTTCTAGGCAACAATGGTGGACGGTACGAAACCTCCCATCCACGGCGAAGCATCATTGCAGTTGCACATAGGGGCGTTGAGGTGGAAGCCGACGTGGCAGATCACAAACATCAAAGGTTTAGATTTCATCTTGGGGCGAGATTTCTTGAAGCGGTTCAACCCGAGATCGACTGGGTCAACAGGAAGGTGTGCATCTACAACAACGGGAAGCGGATAGCACTACGAAGCTGGATGGATACAGGGAACGTTCCTGAAATGACACTGGCACGATTTGAACAGACGGTGAACGAGAGTAACACGGGATACCTAGCACTGGTTATGGTAGCAGCAGAGGAGGAGAAACCGAACGCAGCTTGGACGAGTATGAAACACATACGACTTGAGTGTTGATCGACTCGGTGGTGAAAGAGTTGCAACTAGGTACTGTTGCAAATGATTCATAGCCTAGGACTCTTTGCGGAGATGAATCACATCTTACGACCCCTGCTGGACGAGTGCGTGGTGCTGTGCCTGGACGACATTCTTATCTACTCCAAGAACTTCAAGGAGCACGTGGAGCATCTACGGAAAGTGTTCGAGATCCTGCGGAAAATCAAATTCTACGTGAAGCTGTCGAAGAGCGACTTCGCGTTGAAGAAGATGAAGTTTCTCGGGCACATGGTGAGTGCCGAGGGCGTACACGTGGACCCGCGGAAGATCGAAGCCATTAAGAAGTGGAAAGTACCGGAGAACGTGAAAGAGTTGCAGCAGTTCCTAGGCTTTGCCAACTACTACAACAGGTTCGAGCCGCAGTACGCTAAGATAGCAGCGCCACTTACCGACCTACTGAAAAAGGATACGCCCTACAAGTGGGATACTCTTCATCAGCAAGCCATGGAGCAGCTAAAGACAGCACTGACCACAGCGCCAGTACTCATCCTACCACACCCTGAGAAAGACTACGTCGTTGTGGCAAAGACCAAGTCGTCGACGTACACGAGGATGTAGAACGGTGGCAGAGAGGTGTCGGTGCGGAGAAACAGCGACGGGTCGGCAGTAGAAGGAGCAAACCCAAGAGCCGCAAGTGTAGTCCTCAGTGTGTCGTTCCACTCACGTGGCGCCTAGCGGAGACCATAGACTGGACGCCGGAGACTCCACTGGGTACCACGAGGGAAAGACCCAGTGAAGCCAGGTGGGCGACGCCGCCAGATCTCCTCGTGCAGGCTGCCCTGCAAGAAAGCTGTGCTGAAGTCCAGAGAGTGCAGCTCGTAGTCACGGTGAGCAGCAACGTGCAACAGTACCCGAAGAGTGGTCATCTTCGGGGTGGGAGAGAAGGTCTGAAAGAAGTCAACTCCCTGCCGCTGACTGAAGCCACGAGCCACGTAACGCGCCTTGAAGACAGGCGGAGAACCCGGCGGCCGCTTCACCCTGAAGATCCACATGCCACTGACGATGTTCGCCCCAGGAGGGGGGACAGCGTCGACGTAGGGCAATACGCAGGCTCACGACGCTCAGTATGACCTCCAGTAGGACCAGCGTAGGGAGAAGGAGCAGGCAAAGAGGAGGTAGGCTGCAACTGTAACTGTGACGGGACTGGCTGTGGACACGCTAAAGAAGGGGGAGGACCAGTAGAAGGCGGAAGACCAAGAACCTGCTGCAGGAGTGGAACGAAGTACGGTCAAGGCCGCGCGGCGACGCCAGACACAGCAGGGACAGCACCAGCACCCCCAGCAGGAGCACCCGCTCCAGCTGCACCTCCAGTAGCGCCAGAACCTCCAGCAGGACCAGGAGTACGCGCAGCAGTACCGCCAGCAGTAGTCTCAGCTCCAACACCCTCAGCAGCGCCAGCTCAAGTCGAACCCGCAGACCCAGCAGCTCCAGTACTCCGGGACCCGCGATAGCAGCACCCTCAATAGCCGAAGAACCTCCAGCACCAGCAGCACGCCTCCAACGCCGGGCAAACCACTCGCGCAGCTCCCGCGGAGAAAGTGGCTCTCGCAGACACGAAGCACCCAGAGAACCCCCAGGCGGAGCACCTCCAAGCTCAGCACCCCCAGGCTCAGCACCCCCAGGCTCAGCACCCCCAGGCCCAGCACCCCCAGGCGCAGCACCCTCAGACTCAGCACCCCCAGGCTCAGCACCCCCAAGCTCAGCACCCCCAGGCTCAGCACCCCTAGGCTCAGCACCCCCAGTCGCAGCACCCCTAGGCTTAGCACCCTCAGGCTCAGCACCCCCAGTCGCAGCACCCCCACGCTCAGCACCCTCAGCAGCACCAGAGTCACTAGTGACCTCGACAGGCTCGACTGCGTCTATCTGGGACACACCTGAAGGGGACGGACCCTTGGGGGGAGGGGGTCTACCGGAGGGGGACCTGGTACAAGGAAGAGCGGCGGCGGGGGGAGGGACGGAGTGCGGTAGGGGAAGAGGCGATAGTAGGGGACCGACTCGTCAAACGTGACGTCCTGGGAGGACAGAATACGGCGAGAGGTGGGGTGGTAAAACTGCCACACAAGCGCGTCAGGGGGGAACCCCAGGAAGACGCAAGGAGCAGCACGAGGGGACAGCTTGTCCGCAGACAAGTCGCGGACAAACGCCCGAGATCCCAAGACCCGGAACGCCGACGCATCGCCAACCTTCCCCGTCCACAGCAAGGCTGAGGAGGTCTCCGGCCTGGAGACCCTGGGGTGTAGGTTGAGCTGATGCGCCGCGTACCTTACCGCAAACGGCCACAGAAAATGGGGAGCAGACGCATGCATCATAGACGTACGAGCGACGTACATGCCATGCCAATGCGGCGCTCAGCAATCCCATTTTGCTGCGGGGAGTCCGGAAGCGTGAAGGTCTGACGGATTCCTCGTGCGCGACAGTAGGCTCTCAGAAGGCCAGAAGAAAACTCTCCGCCTTTGTCAGAGTGCAGACGCAGAACAGGAAAGTCCGAGCCAAAGCCCTGCCTGAGCTGGAGACGAGCTGTGCGGATCCAGTCGATCAGCACCTCAGTGACATCACCCTTGCTGCGCAAGGGGAAGACTGTGGTGTAACGCGGGTAGTCGTCAACAACAAGCAGGAAGTAGCGCTCGTGACCCTGTCCACGGACGCGGGCTGGGCCCCACACGTCCATTTGAAGCGTCTGCAACGGGGCCTCTGTCGGAGGAAACTGGGAGGAGTGAGGGGCAGCCCGCTGGCGCCCCTCGACACAGGGGACACAGGTAGAGCTAGGGCCCTGAGGAAGGGGAGGGAGGGGCCGAGGGAGACCAGAAACAAGGAGACGGGAGGCCATGCTTCTGAGCCGAAGCAGAGAGGGGTGACCAAGGCGGTGGTGCCAGAGGAGAGTCTCGTGACACAGGAGACGACACGAATAGGGGGCAGACTCAAGACCAGACCTGGACGCTGCAGCAAGCACCTGACCCGACACAGTGACCCTACGAGACTCAACAACCGGAGGAGACGGAGTGGTCAGTGTGTAAAGGCTCGACCCCGGCCGACGGGTAAACGTAGCCAGGTGTCGGCCTGTGCTAGCCTCTGTGCAGTGCGTCACTCGCTGACGCGCGGGAGTGAACTGGTGTACTCCCCCATCCTGTAGGTCAGCACCACTCACCAGGTTCGTAGAGAACGAGGGGAGGTAAAGACCAGACAGGGTGCCAGAGGGAGCCGCCGGACACGGGAGAACTGTGGAGAAGTGAGACAGGACAGGACCCCCAGAGGGGTCAGCCAGAGACACCACAACCGGCCGACTAAGCGGCGTGAGTGTGGTGCGGTCCCGAAAGAAGGAGCGAGAAGCCCCAGAGTCAAGGGTGAAGGTGAGGGAGGTCGAAGCCGACGTAGAACCTGAGAGCGCAGACTCACTAGTACCTGAGGACGCAGACGCACTAGCACCTAGAGCAGCAACGTCGCAAGCACCTAGGGCAGCCGCCTCACCAGTACCTAGAGCAGCAGTCTCAATGCCCGGATCGGGCGGGAAACACCGGTAACAGTCACCCTCATCACTAATAGACACAGCATACATGGCAGAAAGGATAGCATCAAAATCAAGATCATAGATGGCAACGCCCGCCCTAGACAGCTCGCCCCAGCGAGGGATCTCTGTGGCCTCCGGGAACTGGTGACGTGACGCGTCCGTCAGGCGGCCAAAGCAGCGCTGGGTGGGGTGCGCACCCCCACACTGCTCACCCGCACGGTCGCCGGTGCGCAGGACGTAGGTGCACGGACCAAAACCCCCACCCCGCTGGCGTGCAGTGTACCACTCACGGAGCTGCTGAGGTGACACGGTCTCACGACCGTGCTGCTGCTGCAGGCGCGGACCACCACCGGAGCCACTCCTCTGCGTAGACCCGTGACCAGCTTCACTGCCACCCCCGCCGCCTCCGCCGCTCCGCCGCCTCCGCTACTACCGCCGCCTCCGCCGGCTCCTCCACCGCCGCCACCTCCGCCACCTCCGCTCCCACCGCCACCGCCGCCGCCGCCTACGCCTCCACTGCCGCCACCGACACCTCCACCCCCACCACCACTCCCACCACCACCCCCACTCCCTCCGCCGCCTCCACCTCCACCTCCACCGCCCCCGCTTGCCCCTCCAGTGCCCCTGCCCCCCTTGCCCTTGCCAGAGCGGCGTCTCCCGCTAGGGGCAGACGCCGCACCGACCGACTCATGACCAAGGAGGTCGGCCGCAGCAGCAGAGGCAACAGAGGGCAGAAGGGGGGAGGGGGAACACCACGAGAGGGGGTGCGCGGGTCACCACGAGAGGCCCCTACAGCGACTATGCTCTTCTCGGCCGCTAGGAGGGACTTCTCGAGGAGGTCAACAGTGAGAGTGGTGGGACAGACTGAGAGGAAGTGGTCCGTGACTACGCGAAGAGAGTCAGGGAGGCGAGTGACTATGTAGTAGAGAGTCATGTACATGGGGGGGGGGGGTTCTTGGCGCAGACGTCAGCAGGAAGTGCAGGGCGGTAGCGATAGTCACTAGTGCGGAGGTGCGTAATGAGGTCAGCGACTGTGGGAAAGGCAGTAAGGTTAGGGAAGAGGTACGGTCGCATGAGACGGCTCAGTGCAGCAGTGGCAGGGGAGAAGTAGCGCGCAACTACAGCGTCGTACAAGGTCTGAGCACTCTTGTACTGACTAAAGTGCGCATGCTCAGTGGTAGGCAGGTGGCGACGCACAGCAAGACGTGCAGCAGCATCGCGCGTGGCCCACTGGGAACGAACAGTGGCGTCAGCGTCAGCAGCAGGGGCAGGGGAGGCGCCAGAGGTGAGGTCAAAGAGGGAGAGACCGTCTGCCCTATCGCCCTGTAGGAAAAGCTGCAAGTCATCTACCCAGACCTCAAAGTCAATGGCCCGACCCTCAGCGTCAAAAGCGAGAACACTGGGGGTAGCCATGACAGCAGTAGACTAGCAGCACTAACTGTAGGACAGGGGCAGTGCAGTGACAGAAGCGCTGCTCTCACCAGACAGGGCGGTTCGGGCAGCGCAGCAGCACAGCAGCTCGGCAACACGGCGGCGCGGGCGACTCGGATCGCTCAGTAGCAACTGCGGCTCTGCGGCACCAGCGGCTCGGCTCCTCAGCGGCTCAGGCGGCTCGGGCGGCTCGGGCGGCTCGAGCGGCTGGGGCGGCTCGGGCGGAACGGGCGGCTCGGGCGGAACGGGCGGTTGGGGCTGCTTAGCGGTGCGGGCGGCCCGGTGGCGTAGGGCGGCAGGGCCGCTGGTAGGGCGGCAGGGCCGCTGGTAGGGCGGCGGGGCCGCAAGGTAGGTGGCGGGGCCGCAGCGGGAGGGGCGGCGGGGCCGCAGCGAGAGGCGGCGGGGCCGCAGCGAGAGGGGCGGCGGGGCCGTAGCGAAGGGCGGCGGGGCCGCAGCGAAGGGCGGTGGGGCCGCAGAGTAGGGCGGCGGGGCCGCAGCGAAGGGCGGCGGGGCCGCAGCGAAGGGCGGCGGGGCCGCAGCGAAGGGCGGCGGGGCCGCAGTGAAGGGCGGCGGGGCCGCAGCGAAGGGCGGTGGGGCCGCAGTGAAGGGCGACGGGGCCGCAGCGAAGGGCGGCTGGGCCGCAGCGAAGGGTGGCGGCGCCGCAGTGAAGGGCGGCGGGGCCACTGTGAAGGGCGGCGGGGCCGCAGCGAAGGGCGGCGGGGCCGCAGTGAAGGGCGGCGGGGTCGCAGCGAAGGACGGCAGGGCCGGGACAAGGCCGTTGGGCTAGGCGACGGGGCCGCTAGGGCGTTGGGGCCGCTAGGGCGACGGGGCCGCTAGGGCGACGGGGCCGCTAGGGCGGCGCGACGCAGTCGCTAGGGCGGCTCGACGAGATGAGAGAGAGGAGCGCGACTTGGGCTGAGCGCGCTCCGGGCAGAAAAAACGTTTCGACTTGGTGGGCCCTAGGCACTGTTCCCACTAGGGAACCTGCTTTGATTTCATGAGAAAACTGAAACGAGGATGAAATGACTAAGGGAAAGTTGGGTACAAGTACAAACCCTAGAAAGCTGTACCCCATATGTGCTACCCCGCTATAGCCTACAGTACCTATGTCATATAAATCTGACACCAGGAAGTCGGAGCAGTACTGATGCAAGATCACGGGAACGGTTTACAGCCTATCGCCTACCTCAGTAAAAAGCTACACGGAGCAGAACTAAACTACCCCATCACTGACAAGGAAGCCTTAGCGATAGTTAGAGCCTTCAAGGCGTGGAGGTGTTACCTAGGGGGAGCAAAGTCTACAGTTTATACTGACCACTGCAGTCTCAAATACATGAAGTTACACCCGACACTCTCGCGACAACAGGTGCGGTGGATGGACTTCCTGGAAACACACTTCCACTACGACATCGTCTACAAGCCCGGACTACACAACAAGGCAGACGCGCTGAGCCGCCCCGGACATGTAGCAGGTATCCAGCTCGACGGGATGAACCCTATGCTCAAGGGTCTATTCCAACATGGATACTCCGTAGACGCAGAGTTCGCTTACAACAACGCGTCACATACGGCCACAGGGAAAACTCCTTTCTTCCTGTATTACGGACGGGAACCACTCACAGCAGCCAACGACACCAGCACATGTCCAAGCCGCACAGGATTTCCTCACCACCATGCAGCAGCTATGGGAGAAGACTCAGCGACGTCTCACCACGATGCAGAACTCCTAGAAGCAGTATGCCGATCGCCAGCGTTGTGATCACTCAGTAGTAGTCGGAGATCAGGCTCTTCTTGATACGCGCAACTTGAACCTGTCTCACCTACTTTCCAAACTCCAGCCTCGCTTCTGTGGTCCTTTTCTCGTTGAGGCACAGGTGACACCAGTTACATTCCGCTTGCGCTTACCAGATACATGGAAGCTTCACAACGCTTTCCATGTTCAGCTACTGAAACCCTACAGGGACCCCAACCAACAGTTCCAGGAACAGCAGCTACCACCATCACCACCTGTTCTCATACAGGATGAACCCGAGTATGAATTGGAGTGTGTTCTTACTCATCAGTGCCGCGGCGGCAAGACCCTCGAGTTCCTGATACGCTGGAAGGGATATGACCCTATTGAAGACAGTTGGGTTGCAGAAGCTGATATGGGCAACGCACGTCGTGCTCTCAAGGACTATCTTGTCAAGCAGGGTGTATCTCACGCCACCCAGCTTTGAGGGGGGGACGTGTGAGAGTACGACGGCTTATGCTGGCTTTACTAGCTTGCCTGGACTTTATTATGCTATATCTAGCTTGGGTTTATGTTATCATGCATATATATGCTTGATTTCCTAGGTTAGGTGCATTCATATCATTTATTATAGTTATACCACCGAACCAGGTTACGTGTACCGAACTCAAGTATATTCGGTTTCCACCGAATTGCTTTCTACTCCGTTCGGGAAGGTTCCGTTCAGGATGCTTCGCGACCCTCAGAACATTCGCGTAGCACCTGGGTAACTGGCCTTGTGTCGAGACTATATATAGCCTCGTGTTGTACCCAGATGGATCAATGAATTACAACTCTCTTTTCTGAGCTCGATCCTAGATCCTCACAGCTGTAGTGGGTTAGCCTCTAGAGCATCTGTTTCTTCTGCAGCTGCTACTGCTGCATGCGCTGCTGGTGCTGAGAGCGCTGCTTCTGTTGCTGCTAAGTGCTGCTGCTGCTGCTTGTTGGGTGCAAATTCACATTGCACGACATCCTGCCGTCTGTTTGTACGAGTATGCGTGTGCGAATGCATTTGCGTGTGAATGGTATGTTTGTGTGTTTGTTTGCTTTCGCAATTTTCGCTTGAAGCATTTGCAGGTACTCGCACAATGTGCGCTTCGGCATAACATTGTACGCGCTATGAACAGTACAAGCAGAAAGGACGAGCTCGCAAAGGAACCCAAGATGGAAGCTTTGCGGTTCGGCTTACTTGATTGCGCAGATTCAGTTCTATCCAACTCGAAATTGTACTGTTTTGTTTGGTTGACTATAGTGTAGCAGGGCAGGCACTATAGGGGTACAATTTAGGTGAAGGTTGGATGTTGTTTGTCTGTATCTGCATGCTACAGGGCCAGGGGAAACCAGCGGAACCAGCATTTGGCTGGTTGGGCAAAGACAAAACAGGTTCTGTTTTTAGGACCTGAACCTGGTTGTTGTTTTCCCAGGTTGGAAAAACAGAACCAGAGGTTGTTCACCAACCTATCACCTGCTATTTTGTCCAGCCAGGTTGGTTCTGTTGCTTGGAATTATTTGGGATCATCCCTGGTGTTGGTGTAAGGGCCTAATAAACTCAAGCTATTAAGACTTTATCACACTTAAAACCTCTCCTCGGGGTCACCTCCAAGGGTCCTTGGGTGCCTGGTACAAGACCAGCCCCTATCCTCGGGTCCGAGTTTGTAGAGAGAGGGATCAAGAGGGACTTAGTCAAAACAGCAAGAGTACCTTGAACGTCGCGCAGCGTATCGTGCAGACCGTCGATCGGATTAAGCTGAGAATTTCCTATATCGAAGCTCACTCTAAGAGCTTTAAAATAAGCCAAGTTGCCTCGCGAAAAGTTCTGCCATTACGAAGTTATGGCTCGGACAGCGCTAGCCTAGCGTTGGAGTGCTAGCGTACTAGCGTTGACTCGGGTAGCATTCCGCCGTCGCACCGCGTAGAAACGAAATTCCAGCAAGGAAGGAATTCGCTTGAATCAATTTCACTATATTCAGGTACAAACAGAGAAGGAATAAATAGCTCTAGCTAGCAAGGACCTTGGGAATCAACCTGGGAACAACCAGGGATGATCCCAAATAATTCCAAGCAACAGAACCAACCTGGCTGGACAAAATAGCAGGTGATAGGTTGGTGAACAACCTCTGGTTCTGTTTTTCCAACCTGGGAAAACAACAACCAGGTTCAGGTCCTAAAAACAGAACCTGTTTTGTCTTTGCCCAACCAGCCAAATGCTGGTTCCGCTGGTTTCCCCTGGCCCTGTAGCATGCAGATACAGACAAACAACATCCAACCTTCACCTAAATTGTACCCCTATAGTGCCTGCCCTGCTACACTATAGTCAACCAAACAAAACAGTACAATTTCGAGTTGGATAGAACTGAATCTGCGCAATCAAGTAAGTTGAACCGCAAAGCTTCCATCTTGGGTTCCTTTGCGAGCTCGTCCTTTCTGCTTGTACTGTTCATAGCGCGTACAATGTTATGCCGAAGCGCACATTGTGCGAGTACCTGCAAATGCTTCAAGCGAAAATTGCGAAAGCAAACAAACACACAAACATACCATTCACACGCAAATGCATTCGCACACGCATACTCGTACAATCAGACGGCAGGATGTCGTGCAATGTGAATTTGCATCCAACACACTCCCCCTCAGCCTGCCGGCTGCATCCCCATCATTCCATACTAGTTCATGCTCATTCCACTCATGCGCACACAACGCCAATGAGACTCATCCGCAAGCCTCTTGGTGAGGAAGTCTGCTGGCTGCTGGTGAGTCTTGATGTAGATCGGATTCACTGTCCCCCTCTTCACCTCCTTACGCAGCCAGTGCCACTTGATACGCATGTGCTTATTCAGCCCATGAAGCACAGCGTTCTTGGCCATCCCAAGAGCTCCCTTGCTATCACAAAACAGCGGCGTAGCAACCTTTTGCTCCTGGCCAATCTCCTCCAACAGCCTCCTCAGCCAAATCACCTCCTTCACCCCATGGAACATCGCCATGTACTCTGATTCCACGGAAGAGAGTGCTGTCTCCGTCTGCTTCTTTGACCTCCAACTAACCGGTCCTCCCCCAACTACGCAGATGTATCCTCCCACAGACGAGGAATCCTCCTTCTCAGAGGCCCACGTAGCATCAGTAAAGCAAGTGAGAAAAAGCTTGCCTTCTCCAAGCCTCTCCCCCTTCTCTTTCAGCACCTCAACCCCTTTCTGCTTCACCTGTGCAGATGCGGAGT